TAGATACATTTGGCACATTCGAACTCGTCTGCAGGGGAGAAGTTATATTGAAGGTAAGTTTTTGATATATGCGATTTTTCCTCAATTTTGAAATACGTTTCTGTTTACTTCGCTTTTTATCTTACAAACCCAGTTGTTGCTTTTTTCCTAGAGAGCGAAAAGACTAAGATTCCATACAAGTTTGTATTGTGTGAAACTGTCAAGTGATTTTTTATGTGGCGGATGTTAGCGAAGAGAATGATCATTGCGCGAGTTCAGTTGCGATCTCGTTTTGTAGATTGCGACGGTAATGCAAATCTTTTTATTCTCGTGCATCCTTGTACAGTTTTTTGCAAGTTAATTTTCATATTCGCAATTTAATGAAGGATTTTATTTACACCTACGAAGTAAAACGTTCCATTGCAATGACTCAGAGTTGTTTATGCTTATATTTATTTAAAATATCTCTAATTTATTTTTATCGTATACCAGGAGTGGCCAATTTTTTTATCTGATGTACTATTATGGAGCTGTTTCGAGATTTTTGGATTGTCATTCTGCTGCAGAATTAAGAAAAAAAAACTCATAAAAAACACTTAATTTCTTCTTTTAATAAGACTTCTTCTATTTAACAAAATTGTTTTCTGTTATTATGTTCTGTTTTGTTTTAAATAGAGTTTATAGTGTTATTTTATTGTGCTATTTTTGGTTTTCAAAATTTTTTTCTAACAGCGTGTTTCTTTAAAGGTAATTGGAAATAAAGGCTATTGAAAATATCTTTGCGTGCCGTGAGGATTGGCTACTTTCTGTTGTAATAAAGATAAATATATTTAAAATACAAATTTATAGAATATGAGTTTTTCGCACCGTTGACAATTTTTATTAAAATGGCGTTAATGAATAACACCTCTCTCCCCAATTTTATTCCAACGCTTTACGTTTTATGAAATATTTATATAATAAATATGCATATAAATATTTATATTTTATAAAATATTTATGCAGATTTTATCGGATGTTATCGGTTTCAGTTTTTAACGCGTAACGCAACGGTCCTTCAACAAGGGTCTCGACTTTCTCAACTTCGACAAATCACATTTACACCTTCGAGAGGACCGTGAATTGTAGATTGCACTCGTATCCGACGGTTAGCTTCTATATGCGCATTTCTCTTGTTACATATTCAGAGGTGCTCTACCATAACCAAGTGCGTTATGTTCTCTTGCTTAATACACATGCATCATGTGCATCACGTCGCCCGTTGTTCACAGGTGCGATCTGTCTCCGTTTTCCCGGAAGAGAACAATTCCCACTGGCGGCAATCAATTTCGGCGTCGCATCGTCGAAATTATAGTAGTTCGTCCAGTATGTCACTGTTGTCCATGTGACAAAGCGGATGACACGATGGGGACGCGCCATAGTTCCGAGATCAGGATTCCGATATCACGGGGGATCATCAATACCTCAAGTGAACGGCAATAATAAACGACCGCTATTACAGATGTCCTATTTATTTGTGATTCGATCGGTTCGCCTCGAACGCACAATCGTAAACATCGTTGACTTGTCGGTCGATTAAGTACACCTTCTCGAATGATGGACGAAGGCGTCCACGGAGTGATTGGATCGTTTACCGTACAATTCGGGTCAAAGTTCAGCGGTCGCGAGTAAGCTCGAACGAGCGCGCGTGCATTTGCTGGCATTCGCGTAACTTTGCGGCGGTATGCAATTAATTAGTAAGATAGCGCCAGTGGAAATACGCACGGCAATTCGCGCATAGTATAGTACTGGGGCTACCGACCGGGAATTAAAATTCAAGTACTTCGTATATCACGGCTATTGTACACGCTACCGCTTATTTGAATATTTCACGAACGGGCCGAAGTTAAACGCATTCGCAGATCACTATCGCGTAACAAAGCAATATAATAGCTCCGCCTTTGTTATTGAATCCCACCGCACAGGACGACCTTAATTAAATCTCTGGAACTACGTACCTATAAATTGCGTTAACTTTGATTCTTAATCACCGTCTACCGTAACTAACTATGAACAACGTAATTTTGTTAGCACAACTAATCGTTTCCCGTCTCTATGAATAAATTATCCCGTACATTGTTTGTAACAAATATTTAAAAGCTGTATTAACTATATAAGTTCTTATAGTTCAGCTTTAGTAAATAAACTAGAAATGTTATATTAAAAGAATATATACTTTGAATGAAATTTTATAAAAAATATTAATGTTAATTAATTTAATATTATAAAATATTAAACTTTTTATCGGATGTTGTAGTGAATAATATCAGATCGTTTTAACTAAAATAATCTTTCGCCAATGTTCGCAGGGTAAAGGTCCGATGACTACTTATTGGTTGATGGGCGAAATACCGACGAACAACAATGTGCAACAGGCAAATCCCACAACGACCGTCAGCCAAATATCGATTCTTCAGGATCAACCTCCTATCACCACGCAAATTCAAACGACGCAGACGAAGCAACAGGAGCAGCGGGCGCTCTCGTCCGTCAACCAGCAACACAAATTTCAGGGTCAATCAGAGCAGCCGTACCCGACCCAGCAATCGATTCAGTCGAGGAGTCAGGAGCCGCGGCAGCAGGGACATCCGGGTCAACAGAGACCGCAGGAATTACAGCACCAGGGTTTAATGACTGTCCAATCGCGATGCCAAGCGGTTCAAACCAATCCGTCGTCGACCACGAACCAGATTCAAGGTCAAAGGTCCGCAACGGTTAATCCTGCCTGCGTAACTGGAAACGGAGCACCCAAATCGGTGATCGCATCGCGTACTGTCGTCGCGACGCCGATCGGCAACTCCTCGCCGTCCCGCAATCGCACGAGTGGACCACCGAGCGCAAACAACTCCATGCACCAGGTATATCCGACGGCCGAGAACATGCCCAATCACACTGAGAGCGGTCCCAATGCGCCACTCCTCTTACCTGCTGGCGCTATCCCCAGAGTCTAGTTCCCCTAAGACGTTCTTTCCCGGTGATGTTTACCTTTCCAGCTATCGAGTCTGCGAAGAATATCGTGAGGAATCTGAGCTCGGATTCGTTGGTGAGAAAGCGAAATATGATCGTGGTCAAAACTGAAGCGAGAGAGAAATGGACGATGGGAACGGACGTGTAAATGGAGGATTTGTTCATCATTCTGATCTACTAAATCTTTTAAAATTCAGATTCTTCATTTCGGAAGTAATCAAAGTGATTTGTGAACATATCGTGGCAACAATTGTCTTCTATCAGATTTACGACAAAGGTGCTTCTCTTGAATTAATTAACGTTAGTTTCATGACTGTTTCTTGATTTCTAGAAAGTCCACATTAAATTAGGATTCTAGTAATCAACTAGTGAAATATTTGCTTTTGGTACCATAAATACTGACTATGTTATTAGCATTGCGATAGATATACGTATAATTGACAAGGCGGGACCGACTCCATGCTGAAAGTGATCTCTTTCCACAAGGTATTATGGAACCAACCGATTAATGCAATTTTTAGAATAATATGAGTATCGCGTGAGCTAATCGTGCGATAAGGATTAACAATGAGGATCGGATTGGACGATCCGAGCCCAAAAGAAGATAGGAAAAGACAATTAATTATAGAGAGATACACGACTGGCGACGTACTTTTGCCAAGGTACTTAGTCTTCTGTATATGGACACAGTATTATACCGGTCGTGCGTGTGTGCATTTTATTTATTCGTACCAAGGTGAAGAACATTTACGTTTCCCGTTTACGCGCGTATATACCCATGCAATTCATTTGCGACGACACGTAAAATGCAATGGGCTTACAATTAGCTTAGCGGCAAGTTTTTCAAAGTTAGCCGCAGCCAATACCTGATTCCCGCCGAGCCTTACACGCCGAATTAATTAAGATCCGATCGCGAATGCAAGCGAATTTAGATTCTCTCCCTTTGCGAGGATCTTAGGATCCATTTTATCAAAAAACGACCGCGATTGACTAAATCGGTCTCTCTATATTATAATCGTAATTACTAAGAAGAAGAAAGAAATAATGAAGTCAAATCGAGATTGATAATTGATCGTAAGGGATAGAATGTTAAATTTTCTCAAACACATTCTGTATAGAAATATTTGCGTAAGCTTCTTCCAATATAAAGTTTTTATTAAAATATATTTTTCCTTCCAAACTTGTCTACGGAATCGCAAATACATATAAGCATCACAAAAGACATAGCTCGGCCACAGTGTTTATCGTCGCATGCTCGACATGACAAATATTATCGTTCGCAACGCGTCGTGAGACGCGCGCAAATACAAAATTCTGTACCTACACGTGTAAGGATGTTATATAAATACAAAAAAGAGAAAAAAAGATATATATGTATATGCAAGTACATGTATATGTTATGAGATTAGATTATATATATATATATATGTATATGGCTGCAAAAGAAAAGTTACCGTAGCTAACGTCAATGTTTAGAGCCAGTTGTGGCGAACAGAGGCTGGGCCTCTCGCGAAAGAAGTCTGTGACGTGTCTGAGAAATTAATACCGATTGCGAGTGCATATATCTGCGAATGCCCACATACACACACACGCGCGTATTCACACACATATACATGCATATACAGGACAGGTATGTGCACGTGCGGTCGCAATTGCATACCCGTGTTTAATGTATGGACGAACGGTGCAGGTGGCTGATACTCCGCGGTCGCCCTGTTGTAAACGGTGGTGTGGCGGCAGGACGGGCGTGACGCATCGTGAAGAGTGAAATTCTATCTGTGTCAATCTCTCTTTCAACGATGTACCAATGAATATTCCGAAAATAAAGTTTAGTCGTTTTCAAGACTGTCTAACAGTTACTTCGAGCGTCCGATCGAATGGTCGTTATTAATAATGAACTCATTTTTATGTGTCACATCGCTGGCCAGAGCCGGAAGGATCGTTTCATCGGTGGAATACATGTCTTACGTAAGTGCAAAAAGTTCTAAATGTATAAAAGTAGAAAAATCTTTGGCACGTGAGAACGGCTACGTGACTCTCAAAACACGGAGTTCGCAAATATCCAATCGAGGTAAGAGTTCACGCGGGTATATATTCCCGGATATCCGGGATCACCACAGCGAATCCCCCAGGACACTATCCCGATGTTGACCCACCTGCCGTTGGCGAGTTGATGCAGCAACGGACCACCTGAGTCACCCTGAAAGAAGAGATGATTCGTCGGATCTGGTAATACAATTAAAGTTGGTCTGTCCTTCTCTCGGCATCTCTTAAAATATTAACGGATTTCAGCCAGAAAGACGGCATTCATTAAAAATGAAGTCTTTCTAGCTAATTCATGCACAATTAGCATTTCATCACATCACCGCGACATCACATCGCGCTCGATATTTTCCTGGAATAAATAAATAAATTATTATCTTACTTGACAAGCGTCGCGACCCCCCTCGTAAGCGCCGGCGCACAGAGTAGTGTTCGGAATCAGTTGCGTGAAGCTGTGAACGCATTTTTCTTGAGGCCATACCGGTACCGTGGTTTCTAGCAGCACTGTGCTAGCAGGTCCTCCGTAGTACTGTGTGCCCCAACCTAATAAAATGTTTACGATTTTCAGATTGTAGAAACAATTTGTACTTTTTAATTTCTTTCGCCCATTTCGCCGTTGCAGAAATGTGTAGACACCAATTAAAAGTAACGTAACATCAATTCTATATTTTGTACTCAACAATATAATATATAAATATAACATATCATGAGTTACACAACAGTTACATTGCTCAATGCAGAATTATAACATTTATGTTACTTTTAGTTGATGAGTAATTATTTCACAGTTTAGACTCACTGTTTAAAATAATATTTTTAGTAAAGTAATAGCAGATAACAGCTAATGATACACATAAATAAATTTTACTTACTAAACATTGAAAAATTAAATATATTGAAATTTTGTATAAAATGCGTAATATGTTTTTTCATAAATTTTTGGCTGTTAAAAAAACATCTACAAAAAAGATAGACTTAAAAAAATGATAGACTTAAAAAAAATTAACAAATCATTTTGTTATTAATTTACGGTTTAAAAATAACATATCTATTGCATCTATTTGTACTGACCTATAACGATGGCGTCTTTATTCTCGAACGATTGCTGAACAGGCGGGAGGCAGATGGGCCAGATATAGCTGTTAAACACGGTGGGTCGATGGATCTTAATGATAGCAATGTCGTTCTCGTATGTGTTCAATTCGAAATCCCTGTGTATTCGTATCTCCGACACCATAAAATCCAACGTTCGTGTCTCCTCGACCTTAGTGAAATCATATTCGCCGAGTCTCACCGTAATGTAGTGCGGATCGTACCTATAAAGATGCGACGACGCAACGAAGGATAACTGTAATTTATTCTCATGAACCCTAACTGTTCAGTTCACAGTTACAGTAAAGCGAATATATATCGCACATTAACTTCTCTGAGGAAAATAATAAGGAAACGTGTCAGCGCGCCGAAATAGTACAAAGTCTAAGCCCGATCGCCGTCAACCATGACCGCAAGAATATGAATGTGTTACGTCTGAAATACCGACCAGATCGTAATTTTTGCTCGTAAACTCCGAGATACGAGGACATACGTATCTATCCTGAAGCAAATATTTCTTTCTTTATTGCAACCACTTTTGACAATTCTTTTTTTTAATGCAGTCGCAACCAATTCTCTGCATTATTTAAGCTTATAGAGTGTAACGAATTTAGTTTTGATTTACAAACATATATGAAAAAAATTATGATGAAGAGATAATGAAGAATTTTTTTTCAATATCTTGTAATAAAAAAATAGTTTGAAACTATTATTAATTAACATTTAATATTGAAATAATCCTCTGTCGAATGTTGGACTTTAAAGGCAGACTTAGTCGATTTTTTTTAATTATGACTTTTGTTAAATAAATTTTAATTTATAAAATAAATAAAATACAATCTTACTTTTATGATAACAAAAACTTGTTAAAGCTTTTACAAATACTTAACAACTTTTTCAAATTTTTATACAGTCCGGAACAATATGAAAATAGAAGTTTGAAGATCTAGAAAGAATAAAAATTTCACATTGCCGACGAAAAGTTAAGAATCCGTTTTTTATTTCATAAAGACCATTAAAAACTTTAATGAATATTTATATGATAGTTTACCTATAAACGCAGTGTGCGGCTGTAAGTATGTGTCTATCAGTGATTAATACACCCCCGCAATACTGAGTCGCTTCTTCTTTGGTAAGGAGAAGAGCCGCCATCCATGGCCACTCTTTAGTGTCAGCCGGTTGGTCTCCCGTGACTCTGGTTTTCATTCTCGTGGTTATGCCGCACCCTCTGGGTCTTCGTGGCTTCCTTGTCTCTTGCTTGACCGATATCTCGTCTTTTCGCAAATTCGCATCTCTGTGCATTGTCTTGTTGGCAGGTAATCCGTTCTCGTTCTCATTTCCTTGAGTTTCATCCCACTCTTCCTCGTCGTCGTCGAGACCTGCGAGAGAAAAATTTAGTATACACGTGGTACTCTCGCTCGTTAAACGGATACACTAATACCACGAGTATCGCGATAGACATTGATAGATATCGCTTGTCATGAAAGTACACGTGTAAAGCACTTTTATCGTGATGCGTTAAGTTGATGAAAACGTTTATGTGCATATTTATCGCAAGTCTTATATAAATAAATAAAAATGTATCGTAACGGTAAATTATAACGGTTAAAAAGATTTATTTTTCAATCGTTATTATTATAATAAAAATAATTTTATGATATCTACACAGTTTAATTAATAATATAATTTTAAAAAATTATATTATTTTCAAATAAATAACTAAAATTTATACAAACTCGCTATCGCTGGTAACTTGCTGGCTAAATCATCGTCGAACATATTTTCCGACCGAGCTGTCATGACATCATCAGGACAGCACATGCCTATGTACCTGCGACGAGGAAAACGTTAATAATGAAAAGATTGGTGCATAAAATACAATGTTCGCTTACGTTTGCTCAATTATGCACATATAATCCATAAATCGCCCAGCGTTTGAACTTTTGAGGAACTCCTTTGATAGAATGCATCCACTGAAATGCTTGCAATGGCCTTTTCGATTACCTGGCGCAACACAAGCTTGATATATTGATTTCTAGAAAAGAAAATTAATTTTTATTGCACGTGTTCTTATTTTAAATAACGTTTGAATTTGTAGATAATCCTTAGAATAACACACCTGTGTATTTAATTTTGTAGTACCTGGCACGATAAACCGTTTATTGCGAAGATGAGGATGGGAAATGTTTCCCGAAAATTGAAATAATTCCGTATGTTGAAGACGTGCTACCCATTTCTGATTCTCGATCGCTACCGGATCTAAGAAATATGGGGTGTATTACATATATTGGCGAACATGATGTGCGTGTTCCATACGTGTTCGTGAACGCATACATATGATACGTATCGAAATTTAATGAGGACCATAGAAGGTTGGAGCGTCTGAGTGATACATTATCGGCACTATACATGATTTCGCTATTTCCGTTAAAAGAATACGCCTTGTGGGACTTTTAGAATCCAAAAATAGGTCACATTCTGTTAACGCGATTTATTACGCTTGCTGCATTTGTACGTAATGTATACTTTGAAAAATATTACGGTCACAAGAAGCAATTCGATGTCTCGACGAAATCTATGAATATGTATTAAAAATAGCCTCATTGTGTTATAATTTATAAAACAGATATACAGTGTGTTTAGTTTAACTATATAGGAATTATTTTTAAAAAATAACATATTTTTTAATAATTATAAAAAATTTTTAAATAAAAGTTGTTTTATATAAAAGAATGTACACAATGATTTAAGTGAAGTTTTATATAAATAATTTTTTTAATAAACACATTTATATCGAATATATAATTTTAAATATAATATAAAATTTTTTCTTATATTTTATTTTATGAAAAATGTAACAATTTATTCTAAGTCAAATATAAAAGCAATATTTTTTACTAATTTGTTACTTATTTTGTTATTATTTACATTATTATTTTTATTATTTGTATTACAAAAAATATAATTAAGTTAATTTAAAGTTCAAATTTGTATTTAATGTAAATATTTTTAAGATAATAATGCAATAATACTTACCCGTGGTGTTTTGAAAATCGGTGGGAAGACTTCGGCAGCATTGAAAGATGTACAATAATAAAAATAACACAAATCGATAGATATTAATGTGCATCATTTAAATTAGCGTCAATACTAACTCTCGTTATATCAGGGCAACGCGACGATGGCTCTTTAGTAAAGACAATCTCGACAACCAGAGAACTCACAATGACTCTGAAATATGGAAAACCGCCACTTATATACCTCACGCCTGTACTGTACGGGACCACGCAAACGTTTCTTTCGAACTGAATATCTTCCATTAGGCGCTCGCGTGACTCGTACGTTTCTCACACAAAAATAATTTAATGAAAAATATTAATTATATTTTGCTGCTGTCAACTCAACGTGTAGCAAATTAATTATTTATTGTATAGCATTGCATTAATACCTACATACAGAAAAATAATTTCTTTGTTTAAGGAAAAAAATGAGACATATACGTGCAAAACATGTACATACAAGAGAAATATTTTAAAAAATTTACAAATTTCAATAAAATATCTACTGTAATTAGAGCAATAAACATCTCGTTAAAATTAGTTGCTACTGAGCAATATTTTATATCCAGTTTAACATTTACCGTATCAAATTACTAAAGTACTAAAGTACTTTATGCGTGTAGTATTGTGCCGATTCAATATGGTAACTCGACGTCGCCTCAGTCCGCGGTCATTCATTGAACCTATTAACGCCACATAATTGACGCAAAGGCTAAGGCCGCGGATCAGGAGCCATTTTGTGGAAGTGGAGAAGCGAGGCGGGAGAATTACGCACGACCTGTCCGGACAAAGGTTAATTCATGCGAATACTCGGCGCATACGCTTGTCGAAGCGAGAAGTAATAGACAGCCGGTAACTTGAGAAATATTCGATTCCGTTCGACGTTTCATTAAACCGCTCAACGCCGCAGACTCCGCAACGCGACGAGATCTCGCCGGGAGCTGGAAAGGGATAGCGGGACCACTAGTTCTGAGAGAAGAGTGGAGAGAGGCAGGAACGTGGCGAGGTTGGACGAGAGAAGTCGCGGAAGAGAATGAGAGACACGGGGCTCTCTCTTTAGTCTTTACCGATTACCCAGCAGACAAATCCAGCGGTCTTCCGTCTCCGTCTAAATGTGATACTCAAGAAAATGGACATCACCCACATACCTGTCCAGGCCATTGGCTTCGCCGTGCCACGCAGCATACGTACGCACGCATGCATGTACGCACACATTCATCGACGTACAAGCACGCACACGTAAGCGTCGCGTGAAAAACAAACGACGATTTGTATAACTTGGAGTAATAGGCGAACGATTAGACGTATATAGACATAACTTAACATTTAGATAAAATCGTTTTCATAACGCGAATTTAGAGACAAACGTAAGAAAAACAGTTTTGCTAAACATCTAAAAATTCAGCTATAAAATACAGATCTAAAAATAATTTTGTTGGACTATATCAAAATAATTATGTAGGATGATCAAACTGGTTGCTAGAATGTCAAAACATTTTGTAATATATTGCTCACCATACTTAAGATTCCTATGCAATTATTTTGAAGGTCCAACAAAATTCTTTTCAAATCATTATCTAGCTAAATTTTTAAATACTTTAGCAAAGTCATTTTTTTGGTGACAATTTTGATTCTTATTTTATGTTGCTTTGCATATGATCTTTATGTCACTTAGATATGAATAAAATATATTCTCTGTTTAATGTATTTTTAATGTTGATATGGACCACTTTCGGATTTCCTAACCGATATCCATAACAGTTCAGCCAAAAGAAACACGACTCACAATCAGGTGCGATTGAAAGAAGCGCATTTCAACATTTTACGCATGTCAGCTACTTATTTATGCACGCATCATTGATTGCTCCAAATAAAATGTAACTCAAAGTCGACCGTACCGATAATGGATCATGCTCGGTCTTATACGTCTTTCCTTTTTTCTTTTTTTGATAAAGTCCCGAATCTTTCATATTCAATATAAAACGAATATAAAGTGAATATAAAAAGAAACTTAGGAGCAAAGCTAAAACCAGAAATACATATATTGAAAAATGTAATTACTTCGGTCTGCAAAAAATTTAATTATTCTTCCTTCTTTAACGAAAAGGTAGAACTAGATTTATCTATATTTTAGCGACAAATTAAAGGCACAAAACTCGGACAAAGCTGTTCCGCGAATGAGAGAAAAACGTAATTAAATTCGTAATTCTTTCAGAGAAATTCGAGTAATACACGCGTTTCGCACTCGAATGGTAAAGCGTTTAGTGATACGGTTTTCAACGTTAAAAAGACGCGGTCTCTGTGTTCATTGCATGTTAACAAAAGAAATATATACACACACACACACGCATATATATATATAATTCGCGTCCCAGAATCCATCTTTGGTGCTGCACTGACATTACTCGAATGAGGCCTTTTGTGACAAAAATATCATGTTTCATAAGGTATTTTGTACGCAAGGTTTGCGTGCAAGGAAAATTGACCCGCTTACAAAACAACTATATATACGTAAAAGGGAGAACTGTAAATTTTTCAGAATATTCCTTGTACAACGTACATAAAATTGGATATTTTTAAAGGAATGTGCGTTAACCAATGATTTTAAAAAGAGAAAAGAATTCATACAAACGTTGAAGTTACATCGATGAGAAAATTACTTGATTCAGGCGCGTTTTACTTATGATCTTTTATGTAAGACCGAAAACACGAAATTTCTGTCCTAATTTATTCGTGAGTAAAAATTAAGGACGCGTTACATTTTTTTTATAACAAAAAAGGAAATTATAAAAAATTACAGATTTTTTAAATATTGTATTTGTAATACAAAAAGATTGACAGCGGTTTAAAACTAGGATAAAAATTATTTCAATAAAATGTAGACATATATTTTTAAGAAGTAATTATGATAAAAAGTGAGAAATTTTTCATTTAAATCATAAAATTGTATTGTTAACATAAATATTAATTTTATTGAACTAGTTTATATGTATATGTATAATATTCATTTGTTCTTTACGTGTTACTATTATTGTTATTGTTGTTATTTTCTTACGTATTTTTCTTTTTTTATGATATATTTACATTCTCATTTTAACTCAATCTGTTTGTTTATCTTGTAACATAATTTCATCATTTAGTAAATCTGCTGCAATTAATACGTAGTATTAAGTTCAGGTTTGAGTTTCAAGATAGCATTATTGCTGATACGCCAACAATAGACATATTGTTTGTGCAACTTCTATTTTCTGTTGCGTCTTTTGTGTCTTATTTTTTCTGCTGTAGTTTACAAATTAAAGTTATTAAAGTTATTATTATTTTTTTTTTATACGGAAAGAATACATTTTATTCACTTTTTGTAGAAACCTGATACATTTTTAATTTGACGTATCGGTAAATCTTTGGGTTTTAAAAGAAGATGGCTGTATTATATTTATACAAAATAAAATTATAATATAATAAAATTATAATTATATTAAAATTTTTTTAATCTATCTTGCTCGTATTACCATAATGCACGCGTGTTATTGTTCGATGTTCCTCATAAAGAAGAAAATTGATAGCAAGAAAAAGTCGAGGTAATGATTTACGTGCAAGAAATGATTATGTTAACTATGTTTAAATTCAGACAGGTGCCAATAGATACATTTAAGACAGTATATGAAAAACTTAATATGATGACAATCCAATTCCTCGACGTCGCATATCAACTTTACGACCTTTCTTCAAAGATATTCGATCGTGAGATACGTTTACGCTGTTTGATAACCATCGTAAGAAGAAACGAGAAACGCAAAGTGCACGCGTGTCTCTAAAATGGCAAAAAATGATGAAAGAGAAGGATAAAGAAAGACGGGACGAAATGCGGAGAGATCGCGATTTGAGGGCAGAAGCTTCAGGCATTACCATTTAAAGTATCCCGTATATATCCCTTTTTTGCTCCTCACATTACTTTGACACTCATAATCGCGAGATATTTTACACGCTGATATCTACCCATTAAAAACGTTTTATTCGTACGATATTTTCGGCGAGGAAGATATAAAATGTCGGTTTAAACTAAACGAGCAGAGCTAACAGTTAAGATTTTGCATAGTTTCGTTTTATTACGCGGATAATTTAATTAATATAACACATTTTAATTAATTAATTAATCAATAATAGTATACATTGTTATAATATGTTATAATATAATATTATAGTGTCATTATCTTACAAATGTTATATGTAAGAGAATCCGTGTTTATTTGTCAGGCTATCGTGAAATAATTGCAATTCTTTATATGAATTGCAATTATTTCGATAGCCACAACACACACATTATGATAATTATATACGATAGTTATTATTCTTACACATGCACGCGCGCAATCATATCTCACGTCCCCTTGCGATTTGATACTTTAGGAATCAAATTGCTGAGAATCACGAAACACAGTTTATGAATAAAGGAATACACATTTTTAATTTAAGAGGAATCAAGAATGGCCTATCTTTGTTAATGCGAAAGATAACAGGATGAAGGAGTTCCTAAGAACTATCGCACACTTCTGAGATTAAAGGGCAGAACGAAAGATGGAATAATAAACGAGAAAGAGAAGCACGTGCTAACGAGATTTGAGTTTCTACCTGGTCACGTCCTTCCGATACTAATGTGGTAAACCTGAACTGAAACCGTCGAACAAAGCAAGAGATCATTCTAAGTTATTTAAAAGAAACGCTGTCACGAATTTTGAAATGATAATTGTTTGACGTTGCCTATAATTGTTGCTCAACTTTAATTTAAAATTGTCTTGAATACATTCACAAAGTGCAAAAAAATATTTAATCTAAGCGGGTAAATAGTTTACTGTGATATTTTAATTCAATATAAGGTAAAAGAGAGTATAAAATAAAATATTCATTAAAAGAAAATTGAATTTATAATACTTTTTTATTTACTTTAAGAAGATTGTCTGTTATTATAGACAATAAGAAATGCAATTAGGACTAGGTATGTACTAAAAGACAAATATATTTTGTAAATCTAATAAAAATTAATTATGTAAGAAAATAATTACTCCGTTACTTACTTTTTTTATTATTTTATAGATGACAATCGCCGATACTAACAAACATGTCCTAAAGAAACATTTTGTTATTTCTCGGAAACTAA